CACCTGAAGAAGCGGTTGCTGCATTCAGAATGCATGTTTTGGAGATACCTCAATGAGAGTGGCAAATGTGCTTCGACAGTTAATTCAAACGCAAGAAAAAGTGTATAGATCTTCATGGGGAATATTTTGAAAAACAATAAAGTGATTTTCGATTATTAATATTTGTTTTTGTTCTCTAATTCTGAAATATAAAATTTATATAATTTTGCTTCAAATCCGAAATGAGGAGTGAAGAAATGAATTATTGTGTCCTAATAAGCATACTGAAAGGAATGTTGTACCAAACATAACGTGAAGTCCATGTAATCCTATAGGTATAAAAATTTATGATCCATAAACGGAATCTGCGATGGTAAATGGAGCTTCAATATATTCAAATGCTTGAAGTATAGTAAAATAAATTCCTAAAATAATTGTCAATAGTAGTCCTTGTGCGGTTTGTCTACAAATATTTTCTATTAAACTGTGATGAGCTCATGAAACTGAAACTCCTGATGCGTATAAGATAGCTGTATTAGAAGAGGAATTTGTATTGAATTAAATGGTTTAATTCCTATAAATCGTCAAGTTATTACTAAATCAATTTTGTTTTTTGTTAAAAAATGCCCAGGAAAATGAAAAATAAAAAAAAATCTTCAGATACAATAACTAAAAATATTTATGTTTTTAAAGCTAATTAGAGTACTCAAATGTTTGGGCCAATCCAACATTTGAAGAATAATTTGCTGAAGAAAACTTATTTATTATCAATATAAACGAAGAATTCGATGACTCTCAGATGTAAAATACACACACAACCCATCAAAACACTTCTCCATTCTTCACTTCTCACCCACATCCCTCTACAATAAGGAACACAGCACTTGAAGACCTCGGAAAAAAGTGAAATGAATGTTTTTACCACACGCATAAGAAACAATCTTCATCGGTATGAAGCAGTTGCTAATAGGACTTGTAGTTGTTGTTGAGATAGCGAATCTTCTTAGTTAGTGAAACATTTTTAATTTTTAAAGCTCTAGAACACTTCGTTTAAGTTATTTAACGGTATAGCTGACTGAGTGCCGCGGTTTGGATTTCACATAAATCTATAGATTTTTTAAACAAGTCCTTCATATTTGTAAAGTCAAAGTGCAATTTGTCACGTCTCCATGAACTTCTCATTCCTTAAAGACTTTATCTTGTGTGTGAGAGGCGCAAAAGGTATGTATACTACTGAAATAATATAGAAGACGAAAACTATTGTAATTGCATTTAGATGAAAATGAAAAACACTATGCAACTGGTGTAGCTAGACCAAGCAAAGAATGAATTAGGTTATTGCAAAACGTTGTGAGGTTAAGGCCCTGTAATACCACTTTTGGTTATAACCGCCGGTTGACTAACTCCCGGTTAATGTAACTCCGGGTTAAAATGGACTTCGTGTATTACGAGTATGAGGTAACTGGTAGTTAGCTAACTCTCATTTTAACGTTTACTCTGGGTTGGTTGGCAATACTTTCTAGTATTCAAAACGATTACTAGAATGCAACATAATGTTTTCGATTTTCAACTTTTCGTAAGACTTTCACTTTTTCGCTATAGAATTGGAGATTTGTCAGCAGCATTCGTCAGCAGCATAATTCGCTTGTTAAATGCCTTTTGCGAAATCTAAAATTCCGGCGAAATGTCGAGCGTGAAAAAGAAGCGTTCCGCCAATTTTAAGCGGGAGGAATGCTCCACATTTGTTAATTTAGTTGATCAGTATGTTGAAATTGTGGAGTGCAGAAAGCCCAATGCTTGTATAAATAACTGTTCTTAGATTCTTTGAATTATGGGATTTTTAGAAAAAACCTGTTTACTATTGCGTTCAAGGTAGCCACAGAGTCGGAGTGAATCACTATTTTGCTGTTTTCTCCATTTTTTGGAGACTAATTCAATGACTTTCAGGACGACTCAGGGTTCACAAGAAAAGCTTGAAAAGTATTTTGGATTCTTGAATTTAAAGGTATTGAGCGGGGTTGTATATACAATTGCACAATCCAACTTTGTTTTCATATTTTGATCCATCTGTATACACGTTTTCTAAATCATGATAGTCTTCATAAAGAAAATTCAGATGCGATGAAACTATTTTAGGAGAGATTAATGATTTTGGAATCTGTGTAGTCATTGTATAACTTCAGGTTTAAAGGATTGACAAGGAGGGATGGGATGAATCCTTCTCTGTGGAAAAGGAGTTTCAATATTTAATTCATCTTCATAAATTAGGATTCTTTCTTTAAGTGGTTTTGGGTATTTCACATGGATTGGTAATGTGTTTTAAAAGGGCTGAAGATATATTTGAAGGTCGGATTAGTTGAATTTAAAATTGAGTAGCCAATTTTTAGACATAGTTGTTTCCGCTGCAAGTCGAGGGGGCGTAGTCCTGCTTCTACAATAATGCTGTTGATATGGCTTGATTTAAAGGCTCCTAAACTTATACGACATGCAGAATTTACAATAGAATCTAGCGTCTGTAGTGTAGACTTGGTAGCTGAACTGTAGGTTACAGCTCCATAATATAATTTGGCTTGAATAATAGCACGATAAGCATTAATTAAACATTTCCACTCTGCTCCCCACTTTATAAACCATAATACCTTCAGTATGTTCAGCCTGGTTTTGAAATCGAACTTTAGCAGAGAAATGTGTATCTTCCAAGAGTGCTTCTGGTCGGTCATGCCCATGATATTACATACTCTGTTGTACGACGTATTTGATGGTTTCCAATAAAGAGGGCAGAATTTTCATTTAAAAGTTTTCAGCTTCTAGAGATTATTATATATTCCAATTTAGTTCTTGAAAGGGAGAAACCTGAAGAACTTACCCATGTTTGAATTTTGTTTAAGGTTTCTGGTATTATTTTAGTTGTTACTCGGAGATCTGCGGAGAGCAGCATACAATGGAAATATCATCAGCGAAGAGAAATCATTTACTTAGTGCTTCTATGATACTACTTATTTCATTTATTGCGATCAGAAAAAGGAGCACACTAATAACTGAGCCCTGAGGGAGGTCATTAATCATTTCCCTGCGTGTTGACATTTTATCGAACACGCGTACGCAGATATCTATGTTACATAAAATTTTTCAAAAAAGCCAGCAAGTTACTTTTATTACGTTCATTGAGATAAGATTACGTAGTAGTCGGGGTTTAAAAATAATTTCGTAAGATTTCTCAATATCAAGCGAAACAATTGCATGCTGGATAATTGCTAATGCATCACAAATTTCTGTGTCGATGCTTATTAAATGGTCGTTGGTTATTTATGTTGTCGAAATTTATTTCGGAAGGGGGAAGTCGGGGGTTTCTTGTTTCAAGGAGCCATCTGAGACGGATGCCAACCATTTTCTCTAGTTCTTTACAAAGAGCACACGTCAATGATATTGGTCTAAAGTTACTGGTTTTGGATGAATCTTTGCCTGATTTCGGTGCAGCAATTACAAGAGCTTCTCTCCATTCCTCAGGGAAGGATTGGGAGGTCTAGATGACATTATACATTTTTAGGAGGTCTTCCGTGGCACATTTAGGAAGATTCTTCAAAAAAATATTAGGAATATTATCAGAACCTGGTGCAGAGTTTTTTACTATTTTTAAAACATGAAGGAGCTCATCCATAAAAAAACCAGTTAAATGAATCATTGTTGTTACGTGGGAGATTTTGGATGTTTTTTTGAGTGGCTAGGGATATAGACGGAATTAATTTACGAAAGGATGATTTATAGTTATTATTGCTGGAATTGTTGGCGAATGAATCAGCCAAGCATTACAGATGTCTTGAGAACCCCTGTATTTTATTCCGTTTTCATCTTCTAATATTGGAGGTAAGCTACTTAAATAAGAGCCGCTAATTTATTTTATGCCACATAGTTGCGGACGGTTTGGTCCGTAATAGAAGATGTAAGATCTTTAAAAGATTGTAGCATAGTATTATTAAGAGTTAAGCGGGCTTTAGCTTTCTTATATAACATGCCCAGTTCTTTCGATTTATATTTCTTATATTTTGATGATTTTCATTTCATGATTTTACCATTTTGATATGTATTTACCAAAAGGATTTTCCATTTCGAGATTGAGTTCAAATATTGATTTCCCATTTTGACATCGAATTCCTATTTCGATGTCGATTCATATTTCGATATCGTTTTCACGTTTTATATCGATATCCCCTTTCGATATCGATTTGATAACAATTTCCCATTTTGACATAGATTTTCAATTTGGATATTAATTTCCTATTTCAATATCGAATTCCCATTTCGATATTTATTTTCATTAGAATATCAATTCCACTTTTGATATCGAGTTCCCAATTCATATCACTTTTCTATTACGATATCGATTTCCCATTTCGATTCTAATTATACCATTTCGATATGGGGCATTTTGATATTGAGTTCCTAATTTAATATCGACTTCCCATACTGACATCGATATCCCATTTCGATATCAATTTACCATTTCAATATTGACGTCCCATTTCACATCGATATTGATATCCCATTTCGATATCAATTTCCTTTATATCGTTTTCCTATTTCCATATCGATATCGATTTCCCATTGCGATATCAATATCGCATTTCAATATCAATTTCCAATTTCGATATTGACTTCGCATTTCAATATCAATTTCCAATTTCGATAACGACTTCCCATTTCGATATCAATTTCTAATTTGGATATTGGTTTTTCATTTTGATATCGATTTCCCAATTATTAATTTTATTATTCACATGAGACCATGAATGTTTAACATCGCAATTGGTTGTACCGTATGACTTTTACTTCTATCCGAAAATAATTTTAAATTTATAGAGTGCATTTTAAAATTCCAATACTAGGGTTTAACAGTACTACAGATCAAGACAATACTAATTTCATAATGGACAATTTCTTTTGAAGCTTTACTAACTTTTATGCAAATTACATTCATTTAAAATTATAATTATTTTAACAAAATATGATTATACAGACATTAAAATATATTTTTCTATTTAAGGTTTTAGCTGAAAAAAGAAGTAATTTAGTACAACATGAGTTAACTTCAATGCATCAAGCAAATTCTGTAAATGAAGGTTCTCAAAAGCTAACTTTATTTGCACAGTTCATGCCTGCCAAAATAAAATCCCAGTTCTATTTTGATATTCGCTGCAGCCAACATTCCTTAGAATGTAGTTGAAAATACAAGGTCATTTTTATAATTACAAATAAATAATTGCAAAGAAATAATACCCTTTAGTGTGTATGAATTGTACTCAATCTGTTTGTATCTGATTTACAATTGTATTCAATCTGTTATTGTATCCAATGTTTGTGTAAGTATACACAATCTGTTCATATTTCACTATTATTGTGAACTCAATGCACAAGTATTCAGTCATTAAAGACCTTAGTTGTCAATGAGATTATACATATTTTTTTAAAAAAGGGAACAATACGCTTTGAAAAATTAACTTGATATGGTGTATGAATCAGTTGAATGAAATAAGGTCCGAAATAGGAGAATCCTGCATCTGGATTTTCTGGAAACTCACATTTGATTTATTCGAAGGTGTTGAGCCAAAATAGTGAGCTGAGCTCACGAATATTCAATCAGTTGCCTACTTCATTAACTCTGGACTGAAAGTACTGTATCCAAATGGCGTAAAGGATGAAATAGTTTTGTTACAGTATACTGATGCAGCAACCATAAATAATATCAGTTGGGGAAACTATTGAAGATATTTTTCCCGAATTTAACTAGCATTACTTGTCTGGCACATGTATTTCAATAAGTAGCAGAGGTTCTAAACCAGTTCTCCCAAATCAATGATTTAATATTCTCCATAAAGGAAGTATTTTTAAAATCAAATTCTAGAATAGCAACTCACAAAGAAAGATATCCCAATCTGCCTTCGCCACTAACTCCATCTTGCCAATATTGACAAGATGCGGGTGACGTACCTGTAGGCTGTAAATTATTAGCAAGAACACGGAGTGTTGAAGAAAGTCAGTTAAAGAAAGCTGCGAGGTTGGGGAAATTGTTTCCAAAGAACTACAAATGGTGCTACCAAAAATCCTATATGTACGGTTCTGAAAAAAGTATAAGGTATTTTAAGCAGTTCTCCATACAGGATTTAATCCAGAAATGGTTTTTAAATATGTTTCAGTCACCACCACAGAAATTCAGAATTCTTTTTCAGCATTGAACACCAGAATGCGCAGAGATTCTACAGTCATTTAGACTCCTTGCGCTGTCTTCGTCATTGCAACTTTTGTTTTATAAGACAGAATTTTGAGATTTTGTGATTTTTCTTTAATTTCATTTATTTACAATATGTTAAAAACTGAATTGAGAAAAAAACATATTTCATGAAAAATAATCGAATTTATGTAGAGCCTGCGAAGCATCATTTTGACTCCTTGGTTACAGAGCCGATCTTGTAGATTCCGTTACATATAATTAAATCCTGAAAAGTTTTTTAATGTGTCTCCTAATATTTCAGATACCTCCTGAAGAAATAAGCGAGCATTGCTTACAGCTTCCGCTTTGCATCGTTTTCAGGTCTTGTTTAATACATGTAAAACAATGAAACATGAGTTGTATGGTCCAGCAAAAAAAAAAGTTTTGTAATTAAATCCACATGATGATTGAATCACAAAAAATATCTCATCATTCATAGAGAGAAATGTACCAAGTTTAAGAAAGATTTTTCCCGTTCATTAATCATGGTTTTTGAATTAAGACAGGCTTGAGTAGAAAAAAAGTAATTTCACTGATTTTATCTGAAAAATTATTTTTCTTTAGAATGAAGTGATACGTTTACAAACTGTAGACGTACTGCAAGTCAGACGAACAGAGTTGATACAGTTTATGGTTTACAAAATAAATGAAAGCAGCAAACAATTGTGACTTTAAGATCATCTCTAAAAAGGTGTCTCAATTTGTTTTTCACTGAAAATATTGAAAACAGAGGCAATTCTTGGAAAATGTAACCATAAACCACACATCAATACACTGCAGGTGTTGATCAAACTTGTGGATAATATTCTACAAAATATTGCTTGAAAACTGACCTGTACATAGCATTAAAATTTTGAATTATCCAACTGAACTAATTTTAAGCTGAACACATAGTAGTTGATAATGTAGACTTATTTTCTACATTACCGACTACTATGCATACAGTATACAACCCGAAGAATAAGTAAGTAGCATATAGAACATGCGATTAAATTTCTTTGAGAACTCCGCCGTGTAACAATTGTGTTACATATAATAAATATTTTTAAAAAGAAAAAATATAAAGTAGACATACTGTGAGACAGGAAGGGAAGTGCAATGTAAAGAAAATATATTTTTCTAACACATGTGAAACAGGTATTGAGGAAAATTAAATATTTATAATATTCTATTGTTATTTTTGCAACAATATTATTCATAGTTAAAAGTTTACTTTGCATAACTTAGTTCATATACTTTCCCATTTTGTCCACGATGTTTCTTTAACACTTTTGGTCGCAGTGAACCATACACAGTACAATTAGTTTGCTTATATTAATATTTGTAATATTAATATATTGTAATATAATAATATTTGTAAATCATTTTGTGTAAGTTTTATTTACTAAACTTTTGATATTCATTTGCTGCTTAAAAAATACCGTCCACATTTTTCTGTATTACAACATCCTTCAATGATCGACAAAAGATATGCTGATCAGTACATGATGGGTGAATTTTATCTTTCGTTGTTGTATGATGTCATTCTTAGAATCAGCTTTCTTTTTTCACTCTAGTTGACAAAACAATGTCTCGGAGGTCGATTCCTCCTCATTATCAATTCTCGGAGGTTGAGGGCTTTGAAAAATCATGATTTATATAGTATGCCATCACTGTCAGTTTACCATGTATTGGCAAGTAAGAGAACCAGCCGAGATCATAGTTTAAACGGATGAAGATTTTGTTGGGTTTATTGATGAAATATTAAAGAAAAAAGGTATCAGGATATTTGTTCGGGTAACTTAAGAGTTCGGGTAACGAGAGAGAGTGTTCTGCATGGTATTGATCAGGGAAACAAAGGAAAAGGACCGGCATACTCATTTTGGACAGAAACTTTACTAATACCCTTACCCACAATATAAGATATCCACACAAATCTTATATTATGGTTCTTGACACAATACAAGAAAGGAATGTGTACAGACAGCTTTGCAAAAAGCAACTGCAGATTTTCTGACTTGAAAAATCTACAGCCCTACTGAGCTATATTTATATCAAACCAAAATTTTCATGTCTAATTACTTAAAAAGTAGTGTCCAATTTTCTGAACACTAAGCACCACAACAAATATTCAGAAAAAGTAAATCACATACGAGTCCTCTAAGTATCTTTTTTTAATTCACACCTTAAAATTGTCGAATTTGGTAATCATTTTATTTACATTGCTCATCTAAAATTAATTTCAGATACACTTCACATCCATTTTGCAAATCCAAAATAATTATTTTCATACAGCATAATGAACAAAGTACCGCCAGGAACAAATGGAACAGTTATTTCCTTTATGTAAGATTTGAAACTTATTACAAGCCATTACTTCTTTATTCATTACATACTAATTACCATGTTTAAAGGAGTTCCAATTAATCAAATTTGATTGCATGATTTTGAACAATATTTGTACAATAATGTAGTCTAAACTTATTCATCACTCTCTTCTTCTTCTTCCTCTTCTTCCTCCTCCTCCTCCTCTCCCTCCCCCTCATGATCAACCTCCTCTTCCTCCTCCTCACCATCACCATTTCCTTCCTGTTCATTATCATTATCACTGTCATCACCACCTTCCTCACTCTTTACATTTTTTTCAGAATTTTCTACTAAAGCTGTTATATCCTCTTGAGATTTTGATTCATTAGACTTCTCTCCTGCATCATCTTGCTGTAAAAATAGAAATAATATTAAAGACGTGTGCTACCTGGGATACATAAACAATTAACAGTAGTTTTTTGTTAAAGCAGAGATGAGTTCAGAATAGTCTCCTAATAATGTTAATCGGATCCCAAAAATTGTTTAGAATCCTCAGTAATTAAAGGTCGTTAACACAGTAAAGCTGCAACGTCCAAACATCAAAAAAAAAAAAAAAAAAAAAATCAGACGAATTTTTGAATTCGAATTCTTAAGTTATAATTTTCTTAAAAGTGAGTTTGTAAAATGTACCCCATAAAATATTTACGTTAGTTCACTAATATTGTATTAGAAAAAACATTTTAAAATGTGAAGTCAACAATGAGATATAAGTGGAACTTCATTCTCAATGGGGATAGGTAGGTCGTGACTCAGGAGCATACCAATGCTGAAATTTCACTCAGCATGTAAAGAAACTCACATGGTTGTCGCTAGTTCTCATTGGCTCACGGACACCACAACTCTCTATTCAGGTCCCTACAGAGCGTTCAGTCATGTGACATTATTTATTATGTGACATGTTTACAGCTACTGTTGCCGTACTACAGGGATCGTGCCAGGAGGCATGGTTAACACTGTGGCTAAATCTGTGATTAACACACAGGAATTGTTCGCTTTAATACCACAAATGTTCACTAACTTGTCTTTGAGCCCACCACCTAATGTATTGTCATTTCCCTAATTGTAAAAAACACTAATTTATGAAATTCATGTCATCCTTTTTAAAAATAATTTATTATAAAACAAGAATAGGTACTACACAATTCAGTCAGAAAACTAGTTGTTACAACATAATTTTCATCACTATGAAGAGGGAAGTACAACATGTATTATGTTCAATTACGCTCAATTATCTTATTGTAAAAATCAGAAATACAATTATAATTGGAACAAAGTTTGATAATAGAATGTATAAAAACATCCAAGACTGTTTTTCAGAAAAAGTTTCTCACAAACGAGATTGCTTCATGCAAATTGCACTTAACTGTGCATAACTTTCAGGTAATATTCCTTATTGACCATACTACCCTGTGACATGAAACTGAAAAAAAACATAAGGTACAGCCCATGCCAGCCGACGAAGAAAAAGACGTAGGAAAGTGGATGTTGAAGCAATTGAAGGAGGTTATAGAAGCATGTATGTCAACAACAGGAGGCAGAAAGGATCTGATAGAAAACTACAAGACCGCACTAGTATTTGTCGCCTAGTAGTTGTCACCTTTGAGGTAAAAAGACTGACAACTAGAAGACAAATTATACACGGAACAAAGCACTATTGGTAGACGAGAAAGACACAGACTGTAATCTTCCACTCAGTATGCTTGCGCAGAAAGAATGGTGACCTGTGCGAAAGCGAAGAGGCAGTCAGTATCCAAGAAAAAGGTGCAGCTAAAGCAAAATTGATATCGTCATGTTCGTCCAGCGCGTCGTCAGGTGAATACCAGAACGCCCGACAGATGTCGCGAATGTACAATAACCGCGCGACTCAGAAAAAACTGGCGCCAACCAAACGCGCAGATTTCAAACAGGGCAATTCATAAGAAACAAAATGAACGACGAAGAACTGTCGAAGGAAGATGACTATGTTGATAACATATCGGGCTCGGGCGAAGAAAGACTAAAAGAGAGTGAAGGAAGCGAATCGAGCCGCTCAAGCGATTGACGCCGCGACAGTCGTAACTGTGAATCGTTGAACACAGCCCATATCGTGAACATTGATATGGGATACGCGATCGCGGGGCATATGAACAGGACAGTCGGCGCAATCGGGAGCAATGAGCCTTACAATCGCGAACGGCGGCGCTGCCGAGGGCAGGGAATCGACCTCAGTGACGACGAACGAAGATGGATGCCGCAAAACATGGTCACCATTAGAGATGCCGAAGAGAGTTTATCGCACTTTTCAGAGTATGATGGAATGTCACCAAAAAATAGATCCGCGAGTTTGACGAAGTTAGCGAGCTTCTGCAATGGAATGATAAGCAGTTAAATATGCGAAGTGTATACTGCAGGAATCCGTAAATAAATTCATGTCGCAAAAGACGTCCATTTGGAATGTAGGCGGCCAACGTAGGCGGGCGGCCAACGAAACGGGTCAACAGTATTATACTCAATTATGGAGATAGCCCACCACGGAAAAATCAAAGAGGAAGCCTTGATTAAGTATATCATAGATGGCATTACAGGCAGCGAGATCAAAAAAGGTAATGCTTTATGGCGTGAAGACAATTCAAGAGTTGAATAAACTTTAAATATACGACAGGATGAAAAAAAAGACACGTCAGCAAAAAGCATCAAGTAAAGAAGAACAGAAGAAGGGTGGAAACTTCAGCAGCAAGGAAACAAAGACTGAGGAGAGAGCGGCTACCAGCAGCTAACAGTCTAATTGATGGTCTAAAGATAACTAGATTCAGGTGCCTCATGTTTTTAGGGCAACAGATTTGCAAAATTTTCGCAGATGCTCTAAGAGGGAGGTAAGTTGCATCCAGTTGAGTGGGGACAAATATATTCCAGCCACAATAAATGGAGTAGAATGTCGTGCACTGATGGATACCGGAAGTGATGTAACCTGATGCAGAGGGACTTGTACAAGAAAGTGAGAGGTCGAGCCCTAAAGACAACAACAAGTATTAATGGGATTGGGGAATGCCACAGTGAAACCCTCGGGATGGTAGAATGAAAAGTCGACATTGATGGCGAGACCTACAGTACTCCAGTTTACATCGTACCAGAGAAAACCATGAGTGTTGAATTATCTTGGGTCAGAAACAGATGACAGAAGTGGAGGAGACACTCAAGCAGGGAAAGATCTCTATCCAATTGCTATCTGGACAGAGGCACAGAATGTAGAAGCTCCAAACGACAGTGTAATCTAAGAGCTTAGTGTTTTGGAAAGTGTGGCAATGTCCGAAATTTACACACCCGAAACCTATAAAAGTCAGGTCGAACAGCTTGTTGCTAACTACAAACTATAGGAAGTGAAGGCTAATGTTGTGCTGAGAATTAACTTAAAGGATGAAGAGCCGATTAATTTACCACCACGAAGATTGGACCCAAACGAAAGGTGCATCATCAATGAGCAAGTCGAACAATGGGTAAGACAGTGTAGTCCAAGTGCAAGTGTGTATGCTAGCTCAGTGGTTATTGCAACAAAGACAGTTTATCAGTTTATATAGGATTTGTGTGTATGCTTAATAAGATTGTGCGTAACCACTTCCCAATGTCAGTGTCAGATAATGTAATCTACGATTTTTTAGACGGTGTGTTGTATTTTTCAAAGTTGATTTGAAAACTGGGTATCAACAAATACCTGAACATCTGAATAGTATCAAATACACCGCGTTAGTTAAGCAAAATAGACTCCGGTTTATGTGAACGCTCCTCCCAAGGTTTGGAAAAATAGGGGATTGCAGTGCATTTTGTTGATATAGAAATCAAGGCCAGAGACTATGTTGAGGCTGTCGCTATACTACCCAAATTTTAACAAGTAGCAGCACAGAACATGCTGCAGCTTAACTTAAAAAAGTGTGGGTTCCTCAAAACGTTGGTGGACTTTAGGTCACGCAGTAAAACATTTCCTAACCCAAAACACTTACACAAGTCGTTTTATGGGATTGTATAATTATTTCACACAATTTATAAAGGATTATGTGATGAAAGCTCTTTCATTGTACGAGGTTAAGGACGAGGGACTTTTCTACTTCGACAAAACTGAGTTAGATGTTAGGCAATTGAAGGAAGCCTTAGCTAGTGAACCAGCGTGGAAGATCTATGATCTGGAGATGATCACAGAGATATACACGGATGCAAGCAAGTTACGACACAGTGCAGTTTTATTGCCGAAGCAGCCTGAAACGGAATACTTTCACCCTGTTCATTGCATGCACCATAAAACTAGTGAAGCCGAAAAGAAATGGAGTTCCTATGAGCTCAAAGCTCAGGGAGTGGTTGAGACAGTGAAAAAGCGCTGTGTCTATCTGATAGGTAGAAAGTTTAAGATCACCAATTGTCAAGCCTTCCAAACTTTAAATAAGCAGAACTTATCACCATCAGGTGAGCTTTGGCTCTTGACAAATTTGACTATGAAATCAACCATTGAAGCGGTATTGAATGAAACTTGTGGATACGCTTAGCAGGAACACTCTGATAGCTGTGGAGGATACAGTCAGCATTAATCAAGGGGGAACAAGATCAAGAGGAACGTCTGGAGGTTATCAAACAGCTAGGGTCCAAGGAACCCTATGAAGATTAATTGAGAGGATATTTTGAAGAAAATTGTCAACGGGAAGAAAGAGATATTGCCAACCGCCATGCAGCAAGAGATACTACAGAAGACACATTATAATGGGTATTTTGGGGCGATAAATATGCAGGAAGCCATCCAAGAAGATTATTACATAGGCAGCTGAGGGAGAAGATAGATCAATGGATAGTGTTGCATCCAATGACACTTATCAAAGAAAAAGTAAAGAAGGGGTGTTACAGCTGACACCTTAAGGTGATACCATGCTGCATACATTTCACATAGATCATCCAAGAGGGCTATCACAAAGTAGTATAAACACTTGCTAGTGATCATCGATGGATTCTTCAAATTTACATGCATCTCTCCAGTAAATTGACAACTACCAAAAAAGTTGTTGCACACGATATTTGGCAATCCTTCACATCCAGTGATTTCAGGGTAATACCACCAGTGTTCCCCTCAGGAATGGTCTGGATGAGAAAATTAATCAGATTATTTCGATTTTAATCAAGTTATCACTGGAAGACGCAGATCGGTGGCATTGGCATGTCCAGGTGGTCCGGATGTGTCTAAACAGTACTTCCCGGCATGGCATCGGAATTACCCCATTTGAGGTACCGACTACCTTTGAGATGTGACAGTAAGAAGATCAATTTTAGAAGCCGTGAGGGTGTTCAAAGAATGAAGGAATGCTCTGCAAGATGTCTCCAAGAAAATATTCTTAAAATTCAGCAAGAAAACCATGCATGACAAGACGGGCCATTGTGGCGAGGGATAACAGAGAGGGTGATTAAATGGCAATAAGAGAGCGCAATTCGGGCCAGGACAAACTCCAGAAGAAATACCTCGGGGCATACAAGGTCAGCCAAAGGTCCTGATTGGTATGAAGTGGTCAAAGTTGACTATGATTAGTAAGACCCTTAAATTACGACAGCTGCTGATCACATGAAGTCCATTGATGTTGCTTCGGAGGCCAAAGTGGGATGGGATGTGGCTGAGTGGGGGATGAACTATTTAGGAGTTGACGTGGCAATGCAAGTTGTGCTTTCTCTAGACAGAGCTAGTGGGGTGGTAGACCTGAGAAGGCAGGGGCAGAGGAGGAGGGAACACTTGAATAACATGTGAAACTGAGGTAAGTTGCAAGTTGCAGCAAGTTGCACGTTGCAAGTTGCAAGTTGCACGTTGCACGTTGCAAGTTGCACGTTGCAAGTTGCACGTTGCACGTTGCACGTTGCACGTTGCACGTTGCACGTTGCACGTTGCACGTTGCAAGTTGTATGTTGCAAGTTGTATGTTGCAAGTTGTATGTTGCAAGTTGTATGTTGCAAGTTGTAAACCACAGTTTGAATTTATATGAGTCTCTGAACAAACACTATCTCACAGTTATTTCCTGACACACTGCACAAACAAAAAATACGTAAAAAGCATGAATAAAGATGCAGATATTTATTGTAACATCAACATTAGGTTTATTTCTCGACTAGAGGATTAAATACCTTTACTTCGCTCTACCTCAAACTGCGTTTTAGCATGCGACTGTCATGCATACTACAATTTTGAACAAAATACTTATGACATGTGTTTTCTATTTTTCATGAAACATTTGTTGCAGTAGCTAAAGGAAGGAGTGTAGTTCATTTCGGAGTTAGTAGAAAAGAATTACGTCAAACTTTTGAGTGTTTCATTGTGTTTTCACTATTGTAATAAATCACTCACTTTTTGTGGAGTGAGTATTTTTCAATATTATTGTATTATACATTGCATTTGTTTTGATTTTGTAGCTTTAGAGTAAATTAGTGTTACTTTGTAACTTATGAGCATTACCTAACAAACTATGAAAAGCATTCTGATGTTGTCTGAAAATAACATTTGACAAGTTACTGCCAGCCACCACGTTTTGCACCTGAAAATAAACCGTGTTGTGCAGAAAAATCAAAACATCTTAATAAATCAGCCTCTCACATTTGACAAAGTGAAATATTACACCTATGCTGACTTTTCTTTCTTAATTTCGAGAATCTTACTAAAGCAACGATAGCATCTCTATGGAACATATGTTTATGAATTTTAAAGGTAGTTAATACGATTCTGGCTAAACTGAAGTGTTTTTACAGGTTGCTCTTTAATGGACAGAAACCTTATGAAAAGAAAAATCAGCTGATTGTTCCAAAAAACATATGGGAAAAATTTTATGTTTATACTGAGTGGATTATTTGGGGAATGATTCATTTGAACATTTCAGTGATTCATTTGATTAAGGGCAGACAGAAGGTTTTGGGGCTCAAAATATGCAATTTGTTTTTTTGCACCACAAAATTCTTTGAACTTTTCTGAACAAGGTGATATTTTGTTATTTGATATCAGGCTCTTTAAACCTTTTAAATGACCGTTTAAATATCTGTGCCATGTTGTTATAAATGCCATTCGAGACAACATGCCCCTTTTCGTGTCATATTCGAACAATGATATTACTTTTCCACAGTGAATTGTTGCTTGTGTTTTGTTTGTGGTATTTCTCTGTTAGATGTTGGCAGCCATGAGGTAGTCAAAGAGGTTCTAAATGAGTATGTATCAATGGAAACGTGCGTTGTGTTTGAAAAGTATTGTTTACCAACTTTGTAGCCGTCTTGTGCTGTTCCTCCCAGACAAGAGTCCTTTAAATATTGGCAGAGTACAGAAATTTAGGAAAGGACAGTTTTATGGTAATCATTATACGAAACCAAGCAGTGCAAACAAGAATATTACCCCAGTTGATGCAAACAGTAGAAACTCCACTCCTGAAAGTACTTCTCGAAGGAAACTAGTGTATTTACAAGAAGGAGATGACAGTTTTAGGGTAAATATTGCCCTGTATGGTAGTGTTATTATCTGGTCTGGCCTTAAAATTAACTGAAATGCAGTGAATGAATTCTTTTAGTAAGACTGAAGACAGTAGCAGAAGCTTCCATGAAGAATGCAGTCAAGGAAACAGTGTCATTGAATGATGACTGTACTGACATTGCTGCTGCATTTGATGGTACCTGGCACAAATGTGGCCATTCATCATTGAATGGAGGAAGTAACTGTAACTTCTTTACAAACAGGCTAAGTCATTGATGTTGCCTGTCTCTCCAAGTTTTGCCAGAAGTGTTCTGTTGGAAAATCCACACCCCACAATTGTGAGAGGTATTATGAGGAATACAGTAGAGGAATGGAAAGTAATGGTGTTCTATTTTCAAAAGATAAGAGGAAGAAGGAGGTGTTCGATACATACAGTATTTGTGGTAATGATGACTAAAGGTTTTTTGAAGGTCCAAGAAGCTAATGTATATGGTGCACAAATGATTGAAAAACTAGAATGTTGTGGCCATGTTCAGAAGAGAATGGGCAGTAGGCTAAGAAAATTAAGGAACGAATACAAAGGGAAAAAGCTTTAAGATGGGACACCACTTTCTGGAACGGGTCAATTGACTGATACACAAATTATTTTATTGCAGCAGTATTATGGTTTAGAAATAAGAAGAAATGCTGGCTCAAAAAGCATAAAAGATAAGATGAAGTATGGGCAACATTTTTTCATAAACTGTCAACTGATGAGAATCCAGTTCATGGACTCTGCCCACAAGGAAAAAATGCATGGTGTCGATTCAAAAAGGCTGCAGCGATGGGGAAAATTATTTTCACAAACACTCATTGCCTGCTTCTGTAATGACCTGCATCAAGCCTATCTATAGGGATCTCAGTGATGAGAGATAGCTGTCAAAATATCCATGCCATCATGGAAAGACAGAAAACCTGAATGAGAGCTTTCATCATTGTGAGAGCGTAGGCTTCTGTGGCCGGAGTCGGTGTTCCACCCTGCGGGGTCAGTATATCACCCTGCGGGGAGCCCGCCCCTGAATGGCCGGTGCACTCGCTCCGCATTGGTCGACCATCCGGCCAACCGGCACTCGGGTAGAGGAGACACTAAGCCCCATTTAAACTAATGCGCAGCACATCTCCACGCATTACGCTGTGAGGAAGGTCGCAGAATGGCGACCGAAACGTCGGCACCTTCGCCATGGACGCGGCGTCACCCAGACAGCCTAGTAATACTTTCATCATTGTATTTGGGAGAGAATTCCAAAAACAAGTTTTGTAAGTAGCAGTGTTATGAAGATAGGAGTGTGTGATGCTGTCCTACGTTTTAATGAGGGCGTGATCAGCAGAAAAATAGTACTGGAGCTATTTGGGTATCAATGCAGGAAGAAATATGGAGAGTGCTCTCTGCCAAATAGATGCAATACAGATGAGAAAAGCTGATTATGATGCAGAAAATATGCGTGAAGAAGCTACAATGAAAAGAAGAGCTATGAAACGAAAAGCAGAAGATGAAGAAAAGCTGAAACAAGATGAATACGGAGCTGGAAACTATTCAAGTGCAATTTTCTCTGTAATGAAACCATAGAGTCGCATGATTATTTCACAATAATTTGTCAATATGAATTCTAGGCAACAGGCTAAAAATATTGTAATTTTGCAAATGTAAGTTTGTTTAGGCTTGTGTCAAACCTATCTTCTGCATACATCTGAAAATATTACACATTGACTAAAAAATGCATTATGCCAACCTAGCAAAATTTCACAACATTATTTTCAAGTAAACGAAAGTTATAGTTTGAAATAGAGCAATATTTGCACCAAAACAAGGCCGAAAATGTTCCGTCTGTTCTTAAGTAATTTATGTCAAATTGTTATTTCGTTTGTTTTGAAACCAATATTGTGGCTTGCAAAACAGTTTTGAAAAGTTTATTAGAAATTTAGCAACACTTTTTTGAGGTATGATGATGAAACCATATTGAAGCCTACTATGTTTCTGGTTATTTTTGAAATTTTGAACTGAAAAATAATTCCTAATTTAAAGGTTAACCTACAATATATGGAAAGAAATTGCCACATACCATATATTCTCTAATATAACCTTCCCTCTAATATTACCCACATATATTTTTTGGCAACTTCACTTACAATCCAATACAACACAAGAACTTCTTGATAAGTCATTCAAAAACAATATATAACAATTTCAAGACCACAAATAAAATTGTTGTTGTTGCAGAACCCTTGGAACTGTTCCGAAAGCTCTCTGAACAATGTTTTAGCACAAGACATCTTACAAATCTTTGTCATAAAATTATATTTGTGGTTTCTACTTACTTTTTCAATAGTCATTAGCTCTTTCCCAACCAAATATTCTCTTATTTCTTCAACCAGCTCTCTATTAGTTCTTGCTTTCTTGAAGAGCTTATTCCACATTTCTTCACAATCATTGGGTGAACGTTCACCAAATGAGATCTTAAAAGGGGGAAAGAAAAAAAAAAAAGGATTAAACATTTTCAACTTTTTTTTCATGTTAAGCTATTAAGAATTAACATGCACCAAAAACAAAAATAAGTCAGATTAATTGGTCCTATTTCTCTTTCTCGATAAACCATAACAATCTCGTAAATTAATTTAACCTCAAAAATAGTAGCAAAATTCATTAAGTTGTCCTCCAGCAATCAGCCTTCGACAGTACTCATTGAATCTGCCTAAATTATATCTTCTATTTATAAAAATAAGGTGTCATGTTTGCAAAGCAAATTCTTAGTTGAACATAAAATGTGTAATCTCAAAAACCTCCGAAAAACGTTCAACTACAACCATGCAACACTAAACAGAGACTAAAAACTTGGTGAAACTGAACATATAGAGATTCTCTCTTTAGCATATTACTTGTCCCATGATTCTGCAATGTTATATTTCAATATTGTAAACCATGTACAGGTGCGCCAGAGAAACTTACTTATTTGAAAAAATTCCCGCACGGTGAGTTGGGTGGTTAGAGGGGCGAGAGGGGGCGTATCTGGAGGGAGAAGTTCCCAAGTTTTTTTCTCCTTCCAGTCAGTTGCCATCATGCTATGGACTCGAGAGCAGCGGGCTTTCGCAGTCGAGATCTTCTTTTCTAACGGTCGCTCACTTGTTGCTACGCAACGTGCCTTCCGCGCTCGCTTTGAAATTCCTCCTCACAGACTCGTTCCTGGCCGTAATTCGATTCTGTCATTTCGGGAGTGTGGAAGTGTCGCTAAACCCAGAAATGGACTTCAACAGACCATCAGAACCCCGGAAAGTATCGAAAGAGTGAGGCAGTCAGTTGTGCGTTCTCCTCGACGTTCGGCTCGCAAACACGCAGCTGCTATGGGAATTTCTGACACCACTCTTCGACGAATTCTGCATGAAGACCTTCAATTTCATCCCTACAAACTGGCTGTTGTGCAAGAATTAACTGAACCCGATTTTGTTGCCCGTCAAAAATGCATGTGAAATGCTGATTGATAACTACTGCCTGACGACACGGTCGTCATTTTTTTTCAGGTGGCGAGGCACACTGTCCAACATTTTGGTGGTCAGACAAAGCAAAACATGCGTTATTGGTGTGGTGGTAGAATCGCGTGTGACGAATTCAGCAGGAAAGCGACTTAATTGTGAAGCGAGGTTACTGGTCTGGTGTGCGACGCAGTTCCGGTAATG